AATAATTTTTTTCTAAATTTGTTTAACAAATCCAAATTTATAATATATATATATATATATATATATATATAATAATCGATTTGAAATTCTTTTAATCAACATATTAGATTATTTATTTATTTATTATCATCTTTTTGGTCATTGTACATGTTTATAAACTAGTTTTTGCCAAACATGCATCAACTAGCTTATCAATCATCAGTTAACTTACCAACTATCAACTATGAACAATGCAGATTATGAACACATCCCTTTGTTCTAAATGTCCATATTCGAACATGAGACATGATTTGTGTCATTCTCGTTATGCATACTCTTATCTTTCTTGATGTTTAAAGGAATTGAATAAATAATATATCTGATATGGCAAATCATCGGGGTTCAATCAAGGGAGAACTCGATTGTTTGTGATAACTGTGAGATTCAATCTCAACCACACATTATTATGATCAATGGTTATTATTAAACATATTAATTTTGGTAATTATTCATTAATTTTTAAATAATTTAAATTTACTGAAAATATATAGGGGTAAATGAGTCTTTTTAAAATCTATCTCCTCTCTCCCCCTCTCTCTCTCCGGCCAAGAATTTCTAACAGTAAAACACAAGACAAATATGATACACGCTGTGATATCCAATAATTTATAACAGTAAGACACAAAACCAGTTGTGATACACATTGTGATACCACTGTGATAACATTTTGAACATGTGTTGATAATGGATGTGATCTGAGTTTTAGGCCACACACAACCATAATGTGATACACGATTGTGGTACAATTTTGTAGAGATAATTAAGGAAACCGAATTCTTGACAATCAAGGAAACCGAATTTGATAACTATTAAATAAGAAAAAATAATTAAATTATAATTAATCATTTTACTAAAATGCCCTTTACCTATTAATTAAGGTAATACAATTAATATCATAAAATGATTGGCTCATATTGGACCTCACGGTTACCACAAACTAATTAGTTTTCATTTGATTAAGCCCCGCAAATCATCTATCAAAGAGCGTAGAGGCCCTACTAATTTCGTGTAGGAAGGACAACTATTATATCTGATAATGCAAGTCTCATCCCATGGTACTGTCACACACTCAAAGGCTATTATTTCACTTTATTACGATGTGATTAAGCTAGCATCATTATGTGTACTGTTAGAAAATAAGATAATAGGAGGAAAATACAGTAAAAACAATGATTAGGACGTGATTTATTATTGTCAATGTTATAAGTCCCCACTAAACAAGGTTGTTTGGGTTATGGTTCTTCGAACCTTGTCCTATCAAAACTGCACTGATACTCCCAAAAGTATAATTGGTTTTAAAGAATATTACACGCCTGATCATATACTTTACCATAGTAGACTTAGATCGTCAAATTAGATGACGTTATCATACTATGATCACATGAGAAACACTAAGGACACCCATATGACATCCTATCGAGTGTTCTCACAACAAGTGACTTCTGATGCACAAGTTTGTCATCTTGTACCCATATTTGGATTATATATCTTCATATGAATCCATGTATATATATATATTAGCATCACAAAATTACTTCAACCTTAGACATGATATAATATTTAACTAGAGACATTAAAATAGACTGTTTTATGGTTTTTGTCATATCAAATATAACACATAATGTTTTAAATAAAATATAAATATAATAATATCAAATTAATAATAAGGAGATTTTGAAGAAGTTAAACCTTGTAACTTATAACATGTGGATAAGTATTTTTTTTAAGAAAAAACGTGATCAAAATCATCGATGATAGTCACTTGGGGAAGAAGAAGATGGGAGGGGATGAGGTAGGAGTGCTGTCAACTTTGGTGTATATCATATGCATGAAAGATCGAATCCTCGTATTCCTAACCTTTCTCTAGATTTCAAGCATTCCGCCTTCTTACATTGACATGGCATATCACCATGGGCACGCAAACGAATGGGATCGCCATAATCACAGATGTCCCACCTTGCCCATTAACACCAAAATTATTCTTCCAAATCACCGCATTCAAATCGGTTTCATTGTGAGTGGAAGAGAGAGATAGAGAAATGAAAGAAGCATTGGTAGTGTGCGGGGGCAAGAATTTAGCGGTGGGGGTGACGATTTGGGACATGGAAACAGGGGATCATCTTCTTCATATACCCACATGTGCTTCACCGTTCCATGGACTCACTTGTTTGAGGCATCAGTACTTGGTTGCCTCTCAAATTCAACCCCGTGGCTCCGTCAGCGGCGGCGTTATCTTTACCTGGCCTTTCTCCAAGGTACCTTCCTACCTGATTGCTCCAACAATGCTAGATAGGGCGTTAGAAATTTTGGTTCCCCTAACTACATCATTTAGTTATACCGGAAACTAGCTCCATTTGATCTAGGGCATTTTTCTGATGTTCAGTTACGCATATATTTCGTTGGTTTTTAAGGCCTTCCATTTGGGGGTTTTAATCAATTTTCTCTTGAAATGCTTCATATATAGAATGCTGCATACTTGCTTTACTAATTTTAGGTATCGTGTACAAGATTGATGCTATCATGCGTGTGGAGTAGCTTTAACTTGAATACTTGATGATCATCAGTTTTATGATAGCGAAGTCTGTGGGCATGTGCTTATTATTCCAACATGACTAGTTGTAATTTGGTTCAGTAGTTTTTTGGTTGTAGTTTTGTCGAATGATCAATTACCCTTAATAAACCAAACCAAACGAACTTAGTAAATCTCACCTGAAGGAAAGACTTTGTTGGCGTATGAATTACCCATTGATCAGTTATTGATATGGTGCATTTTCAGTTACATCAATGAAGATATAGTCATCTGTACATTTTCTGTCTTTTGATCAACACTCAACAGGCATTAGATATTCAAGTCACTGACCCTACTGGGATTTACTAAGTTCGTTTGGTTTGACATTAGATTATTCAAGTGATGAATGGAGAATTATCTTCCTGTTTGCTTGTGTTGTGCACAACCCTACACATTTTACCAACAAAGATATCAAACAAGAATACAGGAGTGCTCTTGTCATATATTTGGTATGTCCAAGGAAATCTTTAACAGTAACATGAATTTTCTTGTAACTGCCATCCACAATAACGTAGAGGGCTGGAAGTTTTGAGTTACCTTTCATCTATTTGTCCTGTTAGTTTCATTTGCTGGTATATGGACTGAAAATGTTACAGGGTTTCATTTTAGTTGGTTCAAGAAGAAACAAAATTGGGATTTGTGGGGAATAGAGGAAAACAGTTTAAATGAATAGAATCTAAACCTTTGTAACAGTCTATATATCTCTTGTGAAGAATATTAGAGATTGGGATTTGTGGGGAATAGAGGAAAGCGGTTTAAATGAATAGAATCTAAACCTTTGTAACAGTCTATATACCTCTTGTTAAGAATATTAGAGGATGTGACTGTAGGAGCTCCTTCACTAAATGTCAATCTGGGCACCGTTTTAGATTTCTCATTGTTCTTATTGTGCGAGCTTGCTTTAATATGAAAGCAAAGCGAATGCTTACTTTGATTCCCGGTACATAACTTCAGCCTCGTGCACCTTTACGAAGCTATCCACTTGAAGCCATTGGGCCGCTTTCCAGCTCAAAAGATGGCATATATTTAGCCGGTGGAGCCACTTCTGGAAATGTCTATGTTTGGGAGGTAAATGATCTCTTCTAGTACACAATTTTTTTTTTCAAATTCTTTACTATTTTACAGGCTTCCAAGATCATCTTAGGATCACAATCACACACAAAGATAGTTGCAGGAAATGAAAAAAATCAAAGCATAGGATTTATTTTGTTCAACAATTTGCCTGCATCAATAGTTTTTGCTATGATTTTTTTTGTAGATCTCATGAATAGCACATACAAAAAAGAAGAATAACACCATTTATAAGAGAAATTTACAAAGAAAATGGACAATACAAAAAGATGTTATGCCGAGGGTGTGCAGTTTCAGGCTTTCAGTACCTTGATTACATTTTTCCTGTACTTGCCTCTATTTGTATCGTTATTTCTTACTTATATCCAACTTTTCAAAGTTCAGCAAACATGTTTGTTCTTTCTTCCACACACTCACAAGCAGGTAGAGGTGGAGGTCAAGTCTGCCTGCATCTTACCCTCCTGAAACCCCACCTCCGGGCTCCGGGTGGGATATAATGGGATCATTTGGTTTATTGAACGTTGTCACAACCCCAAATGTCATCTTGTTGATTATATTTTTCATCAGGTAATAAATGGGAAACTGCTCAAGACTTGGCATGCACATAACTCGCCATTAACTTGTTTGGCATTTTCTGATGATGCTTCTCTTCTGATATCTGGTTCTGAAGATGGAATGATAGTTGTCTGGCCAATGATAAGGTAGCAATCTCTATGGTTTCCTTCATTTATTAGTTTTGAGCAGCCAATTGAAAACAAATATAAAATCCTCCAAGTTATCTAATTTTGTGACAGATTACTGGATGAGACAGACTCAGGATCCTCTCATACATCACTAAGCGTTTCAACTGACCATGAATCCTTTATAACTGGACTCTTACCGTCCTCAAATGCCTCTCACTCGGTTTTTGTATCGAGCTCTCTTGATGGCACATGCAAGGTTATTTAAGTATTGTGGTTGATTTATGGGATTATGGTACCTATATTTCATATCTTAAAATGTTTCTAAATTATACTTGTTTACAATAGGTATGGGACCTCGTAAAGGGGACTCTTTTGCAAACTTGCTCTTTTCCGCAACCAATAACTGCGTCGGTCCTTGACCCTGCAGAGAGATTTCTGTTCTCTGGAAGTGCAGATGGAAGGATATTCATGAGCCCGTTTGATGTTGGATTGATGAAGGAACCTGCTATGCATTCGAAGGATAAAAAAGTTGAATTGAATGGACACAAGTACGTTAATGCTTGTTAACTATATACATTGATGTTTGTGAACAACTTTTTGTAGACAGTTGATGTTGTAAACAATAACCCGCAAACTTAAGAATTTGATGCACTGGAAATTGTAGGGAATCCATTACGGCATTGACCTTCAGTAGATCCGGCCTTATTTCTGCCTCGGAGGATTTTACTGCCTGCTTGTGGGATGTTGTCAAAGGTGTGATCATTCGAAGATTTAACCATCGAAAGGGTATCAACTGTTCCTTTTCTAGCTTGCTAATGATTGTATATGGCATAGGAAAATTACTACTCCATGTGACCAATGAAAGCGCAACGCTTTCCTTTTTGGGGAAGTTTTCCTGTTAATATAACCTATTTGCACATTTATGATCGTTAAAAGGAATTTTATGGCACTGTTTTGGTATACAAGACTCCTTTTTTATCTTCATTGAAGGGTATTTTGGACATTCTACAAATAGTCGAACAATTTTTCTCAATCCATATAACAAGTAGAACATTGTATTTTCCATCTGATAGAAGGAATATGTCAAGGATACACCAATGAAAAAAGTTCATCAAGGTCGATGACCATGTAAAAGGATGATTTTTTGACCCTGGCTATCTAATAACAATGTTGGATGTGATGAAAATTTATGTTACAATGAAATACTGTACAAAATACAACTGACCAACTATTTTATTTGTCTACTACAAATTTTATTTCTCTTGATCAGATTCTTGTTCTAAATTATTGTTCTTATATTTAGTAATCAGTCTCTACCCTACCCTCTTACCCCATCAGGATGATCCTTCTCCCACTGCAACAGAAAACTATGTCAAACTTGGTCGCAGGAAACCAATAATTCTTCATATTCCTTCAAGGTGGAGAGGGTCATCAGGCCCAACTCCATTATTGGTTTATGAATAATCCACAATTTGAATTTCCATTGGTAATCATGGAGGATGGGGAAGTAGGACAGGGGGTGGAGCTTAGGGGGAAGGAGGGCCATACATTAGAGAGAAAACAAACATAATTTTGATAATTACTAGCATATATGCCATGTTATTTTAGTCATTGTTTCTTCTATCTTTTTAGTCACGCTCTTGCACAACCTGAGGGTCTTCACGGAAAAAATTGCTACTAGTCTTTTGGGGATATTTAGCTGAATTAGTTTTTCAAAAACTGAATTTAAGAATCTAACCCTCTATTGTATTTCTAAGTTTTTACGGGAGCAGACTGTTTTGAACAAGGGCTACATCAACGTTGTTGACCTAATCTTTTTTTTAAAAGATCATGGTCCTAATTGAAAACTAATTTAAGGTCATTTATCCAAATGACTCTTATTCTTTTGGGGTAGAGGACAGGTTTGCGTACCCCCACCCTTAAGATCCTACTTTCAGTGGGATACTTGTGCCTATTTTGGTTTGGTTTGGTACTATGCCATGTTATTAAAAATCTTGAAACAGGATATACTCGAGCTCATGCTTGTGAATATTATAATCTATATGCAGGTTTTATTACCAATCTGGTTGTGATCCCGTACTCCTCGTTGCTTCCCTCGAGGAATCATCAACGAAAATCTACTCATTTGCCTGTATCATTGCTGAAGAAATGTTCTTGGCAGGATGATCCATCAAAAGGAACTGTTACCCTTCTACCATCACCTGGAGAACAACAAATCACCCATCAATATCAAAGTGCTAATTTGCTCAACCAGCAAATTCTTGATTTGGAGGTCCATTCTGACCCTCTTTGTGTGATCACATAAAATTCCCATGTTTGCTTTCTTATAAAGGTTTCCAAGTTGAACCTATTTGTCTTCCCATTGAATTGTGTTGTTTTGAAGTTGTTAACAGCAACCATGTTATTGCGATTTGAGCAGGTGGGAAGGACACCTGAAGCCATACAGTTGAAAGTCGAAACAAACATTGAGAGTAGATTGTTGATTAGTAACATGACAAAGCATGTGATGGAGATGAACAATCACTTACAATCACGCTTGCTCGATTTAACTCGGCATCGAATTTCACAACATGAAACTGAGGCAGAAAGAAACAAGCTCTAGACATCATATTACAAAGACCTAAACTCTCCATTTCTAACAAATTATTACAAATAGAAAAGTTACTAATATATTATATACAATTACATTATATAGCTTCATAGAGTGTACATTATTACTACATTAAAAGGTCCAAAAATGGACTGGTCTTTGTTCATTCATTCATTGCTTGAGAAGTGAGACACCTGATAAAGAAACATAAGCACAAGCTTCAGCAATGGCATATTTATTATTTGCTTATTTCTTCCCCATGGTGACAATCTTCAAGATATTATCTATACATTTACTGCAACATCAACACCCCATGAACAAAACTGCTTCAGCAGGCCGATGGGCACCGGCTTGCACTTGAGCAGCATATTGCAGGTGCCAAAGCACATCTTCAAAAGATGGCCGATCCCATGAATCACCACAAAAACATTTCTTGGTTATGGAGATGATAACCGACAGTGATTCCTGCGAGCAAGAAGCAAGTACAACGGGGTCCACTACTTTCTTTCGTTCTTCTTCAGTTTCAAACGAAGCCTGCAGTATCCGAAGGAGGGTAGGCAAGTTATTTCTGAAACTCATTTTCTTGATTATATCTGTTTTAGTTCAATGTAAAGAAAGTACCATCTCGTTTGTCAGAAATTCATCTTTCCTGGATGCAGCGGAAGGCCCGACAAGGGTCTCGAGTAGAATGAATCCGAAACTATAGACATCGTCCTCCAAGTTCTTCATTTGCCTGCAAACGTAGGTATGTCGTTCTTCAAGGTTCATGAAGAGGTAAAAGGAAGTAACTGTTTTTCCAAGAAAAATAGCTTACCATGATTCGGCGCCTTCACCATTTGCCTGCAAATAGAAAATGATAAAAAAAAAGTCAGATCTTGCGGTTGCATGAAAAAACAAAAGCTATACGGAACCATTTCCCTGTTTGCGTGCTACCTTACATACATCTTGTTTGATGTCTTCTGCTATAATAGAAAGCCCATAGTCACTCAGTTTCGCCATCCCATCTTCGTTTAACAAAATGTTGTTTGCTTTCAGTCGATTGTTAAAGAAACCAGGAATGAGTCCAGTGTGAAGAAAATGCACAGCCTTGGCCACACCAGTTAAAACTCTCAATCTGTCCTCCCATTTAAGAACATTTTCGGGATCATTCCCTGCATAAACCAATTAAACTTCAATCACCCATCTCAAAAGTTGCATATCCTGGACCAATTTCGCATCCTTTTAAAGTTAAAAATTCTCGAACTTTGCTCACTTTGCCAATACTTACCAGCAAGAAGCGAGCGGTAATTCCCATTATGCACATATTCATACACAAGGTATACTTTGTTTGAATCACTGTCATCTGTCCCTTCACTGCTAATGCAGTGTCCCAACAGGCAAACTAAATGAGGGTGCCGAAGCCTTGCAAACAAATCCAGCCTCAATTTAAGGTTTCTGATTGTGAACTTTTTAGACACAGCCAAATGCCTTATCGCTATGATCGTCCCATTGCCTAGCTTCCCTTTGTAGATCTAGATAAAAAAAAAAGTTAGGAAGGAATATAATCAGGGATCTTCCCTGTCAATAATGTGTACATTATGCTTTTAGATTGGTACCTTGCCACTTGAACCTTCCCCTATTAGGGTAGATCTATGAAAGTTGTTAGTAGCTTCCTTCAACTCTTCAAAAGAAAACACTCTGTGCACTGGGAGTCCTTCTGTACCCAACTTTGCAGCCTCAGAAAGAAACCCTGGTTCAGAAAATTAATGAATAAAGATATTATATATCATGATTATAGAGATATTCACCATAGTTGTAGCCACAGGGGACATCAAAAGATCAAACTTGACTAGTTTAACACTCTATTAATGGTTAGATCACATAAAAGACTTTGATAACAACACAAATAATTCTAGGGAGCCTAAAAAATGTTACCAAATGGTTATTTCTAGATATATGCTCAGTGTGTATCCAGGATCATGTTTGTGAAGGAACTTACTTGCATTACTTAAGAGGCCAGATGGGTAGCCTGTAACAGAGTAATCCTGCACTGGTTTATGCAGCAATTTCTGTTCTGATACAACTCCACGGAAAAGCTTTCTACAAAGAACCACAAACCCAGATACCAAAAGCACCAGAACTACAACACTCCCTACAATTGTTCCTACAATTATTCCTGAATTCCTTCTTTTTCCTGAATCTTTGAAATCTTTTGTGTCTACTTCGACCCCTCGAGCTTCTTCTACACAATAATTCGCCGGATGCTGGTGCTTCACATCACTCATTAGGCAATTCCCATCATACTTAACAGTTCTGTTGTTCAAATCATTGCTTAAACAGGATGGCAAAGAGCCAGTAAACCGGTTTAATGAAATATCAACAGCTGCGAGTCTGTTGCCACATTCTAAGTGAGTTGGTAGTGACCCAGTCAACGTATTTGATGTTAGATTGAGGTAAGTAATGTATGGCAATGAGAAGAGTGAAGCTGGAGGGACTCCAGATAGGGAATTGAATGAAAGATCAAGTTCTTGAAGGTGACTCAATTGACTATATTTTACTGGAATTTGACCAGAGAATGAATTCTTGCTGAGATATAGAATGATCAAACTGTTGGGCAGATTTGGTAGATCTGGTAATTGACCAGAGAAACCATTTCCCCTCATGCTCAGACTGGTCAAACTTGACAATAAGTCAACCCCATCAGGGAAACTACCATTCAAGAAATTCCCATCAAGATTCACACTTTGAAGACTCACCATCCTTGAAAACGTTGGAGGAATTGAACCAAACAAGAAATTATCACTTAAGTCAATATACTCAAGTGTATATAGTCTTTGAATTTTATCAGGGAGTGGGCCCCAGATTCCTAAAGAAACCAAACTGAGAACCTTCAAGCTTGTTAATCTTGATAGGGTGGCAATCAAAGAGTCCATCGAGAAATTTTGAGATAGGGTCTGTGAAGCAACTGGAAACCCATGAAAGTTTGAACTAACCTTATTTGGCTGTTGATACCCCATTATTTTGAGTTCTGAAACATAGTTGTTTTCACAAGTGACATTGACTTGTGGTGATGATAAGTAGCAGAAATCATCGGTTGTGTTGAACCAAATATCCAATTGTTTTGGGTACTCCAGTTGTTTTCTTAGTTGAAGCAGCACTTGTTTTTGTGATGGCTGAATTGCAGTTGTACCCAGAAAGAAGAATCTCCATGAAAGACTCAAGAAAAGCAGATAAACAGTGGAAACCGCCATTGAAATGCTTCTTCGAGAACAAGGTTAGTTCAACAGAGAGTTTGAATTCACATAAATTTAAGTTTCTTGAATCAAGATAGACATAAAGAAGAACACAAAAACAGAATCTTTAACAACCAGAAGTCAAGATTCAGACCTTTTGATATAGAAAACAGACAACTGTTCTCCCCTGTTTTATATGAAATCAAGATTTGAATTTCACATAAAATGGGAGGAATCAAAGGAGGAGGTAGAAAACAAAGATGAAACCAAACGTGGGTAGTTGAAAATCAATATGAGTCTGTAAGAAAGTCTCAGAAATTTGAAGTTCCAATGCATTCCACATGGGATTTTGCCGCCATTAAAGAGGACAGACAGAGATCAAGAAATAAAAGAGGTGGGATTCTCAGGGTTTGATTCCTCTTCCTATCTTTCTCTTTGTTTCACACTCTCAATGCAAAGTCTCAGATATAAACATGAATTGCAGAACCCAATTATATGTTCCAAATCAAACTTCATTCAGTAATCATTTAGACTTGTAAATCATGCAGAACAGATAGTACATTTAGACTGTATCTTAAGATGGGTGGACAGGTAGCCATACAGTCCACGTGGCCCACCTTGCAGTCGGTGTATATTTTAGTCATCAGTATGGGAGTAATAATGATTCTTGTACAAATGTGAAAAGAATTTGGATGTGTATAACAGGTAGAAAAAATCTTTACTGGTTTTAATCATGGGATTTAAATTTTTTGCCAGTTAAAATGTATTTTTTATTCTTATCTCTTAATTATCATTTTTTATGTCTGATTCATTTAGACGTTTTGTAATTCAGATTGTTTGTTTTTTATTACAGAATCTATTATCATTTAATATGAGCTGAATAAATAAGAGGTAAACTAAGATCTTAATTCTTTTTATTTCTATTTTTCTTTGATTCTTTTAGACTATTGTTTCTTTCTTCACCAGGTACGTCACCGTCCTTTCATCACTCATGTAAAATGTATGCCCTCACCTTCTCTCTCTCTCTCTCTCTCTCTCTCTCTCTCTCTATATATATATATATATATATATATAATTTTTGTACGTATAGGTTAACTTAGGAGATTAATGTGAAACAAGAACTTCTATCGACGTTCTATCCTCTATCAAATGTATCGATTTTCCGCAAACAAACTCACCAACGGCATTTCCGATAGCATCGAAAGTCTGAAAGGTATCTAAGAGGTTCTTATTGTGTTTCATCCGGTAAGCAATTGTTGAGATGAATTTCAGCAATGAAAATTTTATGAAAATCAAGAAAATTTTACAAAATGTTTGTACCAGATTTTGCAAAAAACAAACTATTGATTAAGATATCAAACTTCAAATGTTTGTCAATTTACAAAAAAACAAACAGTCTTATTAATTCAAATTTCAGACTTCAGCACCACTTCTTATTAATCAAAAGTGAAATAGAACTTCAAGACTTATGCACCTCTTAAAAAACAAACGTCATTAAAGACTCGTACTTAACACTAAATGGTAACTTTTAGGACTAAATCAACTAGTTTTAATTGCTATCAAAATAATTGAAGCAATAATGATTCTTGTAGAAGGGTGATTTTGGTGTTGTATGGCATTAAAGAATGGCTGGCTACCTTGATGATGGTCAAGATTTTCAAAGGGCAAAAAGGGTATTTGTGATTGTTATTGATTACTAGAAGAGCATGTAAAAGGACAGGCTGTCATTATTTATTGACAATATGAAAATGGGGAAATTCCAAGTTGCCCATGCCATCCCATATGCATGCTTAGTTTGGAAATATTTATTTGGACATTTGGCAAACTTCAAGAATCAATGCATTCAAAATTCAAATTCTAACCATTTTTTTCCCATATATTATTCTCTTATTACTAAAATAATAATAAAAATATCTAATTTTAACAATTTATATTATTTTATTAATGTGAATATTAAGTAAAACCTACTATGAACGAATATCAAGTCAGGTGGAGTTTATTAAAAGGCTGTTTGGTGGTTGCTGAATGGTTTGATGCAAAATAATTAGATGGTTAAAATGATTAATAGGCTCTTATGATATAGTGTAAAATGAAATATAATTGTTTGATAATTGTTTATAATAAAATTAGAGTGTTGAGTGGTTAAGTGAGACCTAGATGCAAAATCATTCAGAGAATTTTAGAGCCATTAAGCGACAATTTTTTTTGCTAAACAAGATTTACCTCTTAACGGTTCAAAGACTGTTTCTTAATGGAACTATTAAACCATTAAAACATGTATAACAACATTGTTCTGCAAAAAGATGACATCACCATTTGAACGGATCCTACCCATACCACTCCCATAGCTATCATGTATGATGTAAATTATGTCTCTCGGTGACTTGTGACGTCTAAAGTCAAAAATCACACCTCACATTCATTCTGCAAGAATTTCTATATTTTTATCTGTTAAATTGAAACCAGATGAACTAAAATAACGTTGTTGACAAACTCTTGTTATTTTCTTTTACTGTTTAGTCAATTACAGTTTCATAAATTATTCGTACAGATGGAATTTGTATGTCAGCCTTTTTATATAAACTTCTACACTGTTCGAATTTAATTTTTACCATTAAAAAACATTATTATACCATATAAAACCCAATACCATGATAATAAATGCAACAAAAATTGAGAGGGTTAAAGTGGAAAATAAAATAAAATAAAATAAAATAAAGAAAAAGGTTTTAATGCAAAATATTTATTTTTATTTAGTACAAAATATTAAAGAGGTAGGACCCACCATGATGCCACTGCCCAGATATCCTTTTCAAACTAATTTGGCATCATTAATAAATTGGATTTATTTGTTACATTAAAAATTAATAAAAATAATTAAATCGTTTATCCAAATTACGAGTCCAAACTGATTGTGACTTGTGACCACGGTTAGCCGGCTATACCTTTTAAAACTAGAATCATACTTGTAGGATGCAGCGAAATAATTTTGATTTTAATGTTTTATTTTATTGGGTCAGTTTATTACTTTGGGTTTTCGAGTATTATAAATGGTATCAGAATCGATCCTTATACTATCGGGATGGTGGGACAAACCTCATCAGGTACGATGAGTCCTAGAGAGAGGGTGTTTGTAACATCTTAGGCGAATCTCACATTGCCGATGAAAATGAGGAAGATTTTGGATAGGCATGACGAGGACGTCAGTAGTTTAAGTGGGAAAGTTTGTAACAACTCGTCTCACATGGATATAAGATGAAAATTGTTAGCTTCTTATAAGTCTTAAGTAGTGAACTACGAATAACTTTCACCATGGTTTTAAGTTGGATTCGAATTTATTTGGTCAATCCGTTGTTTTGGGCTTTGGGGTGTTACAAAAACCATTAACAACCCCCTAGTTGAATAGGTGTCAGGTTGTGACGAAATCACAAAATTGTGAGTTAGTCAGTCTGACAAAAGGTTGATATAAAATAAAATTATCAAATTTACGGTATGTTTTTATATATAATTCGAATACTGATTTTTACTATTTTTACAACCACGTAAATGCATGTTACAAGCGGATATTGTGTTATCTATTTAGTAGACAACATTCAAGAATGACATTCGAATTTAAAACATCTATATTGTTTTTACAGAACGACGATCTTAATTGAATTCTATTATTATCAATAATCATGAAACCATAAAACAATTTTGGTTATAATACTCTTAAACAGTGGTGAATTCATGATTTTTATCTAAAAGGGACACCTTTAAGGTAGATTAAAGGCCTGCAAAGTCTCTACTCCTTCCCCTTATATAGGAAGCCCGTTGGAAGATTCTTTGCCACATGGTTCGTCCGATGCGTTTTTAGTCTAATTGCACCGTTTCAAGGGATTTTAAAAGTTTTCTTGTTGATTTCAAGGGATTTTTTTAGTGTTTTTGTCGATTCAGAAAGACGGTTTTTTGATTGATTTCAAGATACCCTTTTGATTTTTTAGTTGATTTGAAGGTACTTTTTTTGGTTGGTGAGTGTACAAGCGGGAAATTACTGGGGGAACTATAGTAGAACGTTAAAAAAATGTTTTAACCTACATAAAAGAGAATTCCCTTTATGGGGTACATATCGCCACCTTTTGAATACTGCATCCGCCTGTGCTCCTAAAACCCGTACATATACATGAACACTCTTAACACTAATACCTGTCGTTTGAGTCTATGACTAGTTCTAAACCCTGAAATCATACACAAGCTATAGTGATCCTCTCGATAGTCATCAACGGTGAATCTCAATTTCTTTAACCTACGTGACACAAAATAATAACTATAATATAAATTAAAATATAAAAAAAGTGTTTATAACTAACAAACACAATACAAAACACAAAGAAACCAGTTTCAATCTGAACGTCTTATAATTACGTTATTGTGTTACACCGCTGTTAACCACTAAACTCGAATTTAAGCTTCAATATATTATTATACCCTCTCAAATTGTCGATGAGCATGCCCAATGGTAGCACACAAACAGATTATAACAATAACACCATTAAGAATCATAAAAGATCTACACTATTAAAGACGATATCAATAATGGCACCGGCCACACCCTTCATAGTCATCAAGTTACTTTATTTTAAGGGCAAATAGATCGATACCCGAAAATAAATATATGCAGAAATTTATCAGAATAATTTTCCTAACGACAACTCTCTTTACCAAAATTCTAAATTTGTATTTGTTTAGATATGTCAAGTGGGTCATACAAAATGTATCTAAATAACAAGGATTTCATACCAAAAGGCCTTTTGCCTAACGGTAGGGGTGCTTATGGGTTGGGTTGATCGGGTTGAGGGCATTTGAATAACCCAACCCAATGCTTGCGGTTTGGAAAAATCTTAACCCAAACCAAAGTGCAACCCAACCCATACGGGTTGGTCGGGTTGATACTTTGGTATATTAAAATATTCTTCTAACCTTGAATATGTTATTTCTCTACTCATAACTTCTTTTTCATCATCAACCATTTGATACAACTTATTCATATTTCTTATGTATATCACATTCAGTTAATTTTCTCAATTTACATATATATGTTCACAGTTACTGAAAGAGTTATATAAATATATGAATAAATTGAAAATATGTGTATATGAAAAGCATACATGATAGTGTAATTGTCTAATGTATATATTAATAGAAATTCAACAATCGTATTAAATCCAATAAATAAAGGATATCGGGTTCATCGGGTTGGCTTGGGTTCAAATAATAGTAACCCAATATCAACCAAATACCTACGGTTTGACAATTTTACAACTTAATTAGACATCGGGTTACTTCGGGTTGGGTTATTTCGCGCTAAGTTGGGTTGGGTTGATCGGGTTGGTCGGGTCTTTGAGCACCCCTACCTAACGGTATCATAGTCTTTGGCCTCTTAGAATGTCAGGGGTTCAAACATCACCAAAGGTAAGAAGGATGTGTGAATTTATTTGTTACATTTTCCGTATATAAATATTATATACTTAAAAAAAACAAGGAT